CAGTATCCTCGCTGCACTTTCAGACCCAGGGGACGCCTCCAGAGACAGACAGCTCCAACCTGAAAACAAAGCTCCCCTTACCGAGCTCGGGGGTCATAATTTGATGGCAGGTGCTGTAAAGGGTCTTCTTTCTGGTTTCCAGACTTCAAATAGCAAGATCTAATTTCCCCTGTAAAATCACAAAATTTCAACAAAGACTATTATACCATTATTTGTGTATAACCATTTTTATCATTTTCAAGTCAAAGGAAACTCACTTTGGGCTATTTTAGTAAACACTGACAATCTAGACTTTATATTTCTCCACAGAACGTGTACCGTGAGAAGAGGGAGGACATCTAAAAAACTAAGAAAATTTTCTTTGAGGTAATCCCCTGGTCACATACTTGAGTAAGCTTTGACTCAGTTGTTTATTACCCACTTGTTCTCAATCATTTCATTTTTATCATCGTTTGATTCATTTTTTAAATTGGTAGAGAGCACGCATGCTCCCCCAGAGAGACAGAGAGAGGAGGAGTGAGAAAGCACCTCCAGGGGGCATGGTCACCTGCAATCCCTCCCCATCTCTCCACCCTGCTGGAATCGGGGCATCCGCACACACCCTCCCAGCATATTTTTCAAGCCTCCGGGGCCAGGATTCGAACTGTGATTAGCCATGTGGGATCCAGCCCCTTGACCACTAGACTACTAGGCTGGCCCTCATTCACTGTCATACGCTCCCTTCCTGCGTCGTATGATCTGTGCTGAGCTGCAGCTGCACTGGCCTACATCGGGATGACATGCAGGAAGAGGCACGGGGAGGTGCAGTTTCTACCGGGACCACACAGGCCACGCAGACAGACAGCAAGTGGCCCCCACTGACTCAGGAGCCCGCCTGTTGGGAAGGTGCGATTTCTACCAGGACCACACAGGCCACGCGGACAGACCGCAAGTGGCCCCCACTGACTCGGGAGCCCACCTGTTGGGGAGAGCAAGGGATGGAATTAATTGGTGGAGTTTATTGGCTCCACTGAAGTGGCTTAGGGCATCGAGGTGGGAAAAGCAGTCCCCTTGCCAATGTAAACCACGTCTCCCCAGAAGAGTTCTCAGGAGGCCCTTGTAGGTGACTCGGGGGCTTCTGCTCCTGTCTGCTGGGCGTAGCACCGGAGAGAGTGAACCACGACAGCCCCTCTGCATCTCTGCTCAACGCAAACGTCATTCTTTCTAACAAGGAAGTCTCTATTTCTGCAGATGCAAACACACCCTAAGCGATAAACTCCTGAGCCCTAGGTAAGGTGACCATGCAGTTCACTGCCCAAACCAGGGTCCTCCGACTACAAAGTGACAAGCACTGGTCAGGCTGTAAGGGACCGTGTCCATGATCTTGGAACAGGACCTTGCCACTCAGGGACCCTCTGTGTACACCACTTAAAACCCTTTCTGTATAAGGAGCTGATAAAAACCTATCCAAGTCTGACTTCCGACCCATATCCCACCGTTTACCGAGTCCTGGGCACTGCCCTCCTGATTTGTGAGTGGGGAGTTACTCAGCTTATTCGGATAATGTGTGATAAATCGAATTATTTCAATAACTAATTTCAAACTGTAATCTTACCAAAGGGGGAAAGGACGTGGTGTTAAGAAAGAAAAAGCAGATGAGCCTGAGGAAGTCTGGAGTCCAGAAAAGATTTTCGGGAAAACTGAGGCGCGAGGGAGAAATAGCACACTACAGACGCCGGGACACGGACCGCGAAGGCCGGGGACCAGGGAGCTCGCTGCTCTGGGGACTCAGTGCCCCCGTCCCAGTCCGGTGCTCGGCCACGCCTGCCCCGCTCCGCAGTGCGGCGCCCTGGACACTCACCGTGCTCATCGATGAAGACGTGCACGGCGTCCGCAGACATCTCCTCCTGCACGGACGTCTCAGGCCCACTGACCACCTGCAAGACGGAGCTCTCCTGCTGGGAGGTCACCCTGTAGATGATCTGCCTCTGCCGACTGCCCTGCAAACTTAACACGCATGAAAGTCTCAGACGCGGCCAGGGTCCTCCCTACGGAAACCCAGCACGAGAAGCGGCGGCCGGCCCGTGAGGCGGCCCTCGCAGCAAAGCAGAGCGAACACAAGTGAGCCTTACAGTGCCGTGGGCGTGGCGGGCCGAGGGGCTGCGGCACGGGGGCTGGCTTGGCCTTGGCTTTGCAAGTCTGGTTTTCCTGGATCAGAACCGGGTCCCCTGGGCTTCTCACTTTCCAGCATTTCCTCCTTTTTCTGCTGGGAGCAATGATCTGAAAAACATTGCTTTATGTGTTAATATTAAATAAGAAATTAATGTGAGAGCTCTAAGAAATAAGTTACTCCAACCAAAAGAAAATTATTAAAAAAAATAAAATCTAAATAGCTCCACTGACCCCAAAATGTTATTTAATAAATTTCACTTTACTAATGATGAAAGCGCCTAAAAATATCTGAGAAACACGTGTGTGTCACGTTCAAGACATTCTATTTAAGCACCTACAAGTAACGCCCTTCCTACGTGAGGTCCTGGGCACCCCGCAAAGCAGCAGCGACCACGGGCCTGCCAAGCGGAACTCGCCCGCTGGACAGTTCAGGACTCACAGTGGGCAGCCTCGGTGAAAAGCACAGAGTTCCATAAAGCAGGCGATTTCAGTGAGATGTCTTTACCGCTTCCAAGCCTCATCGGTCTTCCCTGTGATTCTGTCTCCAAATCTCAAAGGCAAGCTGAAGGAAGACTCGTCCCTTCCGAACGTAGCCAGCTGTCACAAATACGCATGGAGCAGGAGCGAGCGAGGGGCGATGCCCGCCCCTTGCCTGAGAATATCTCAAGGTGAGTGAGCGTTCTAAGGTCGTAGGTGCAGAATGGGGTTTTTGATGTCTAGGATGCTCTTTAAAGGGGTTCAAAATAAGGACCTTGGCCCCCACTGCCCTGTCCCCTGCAGCCCAGCCCGTCATCATGGGCATGCCCAACACCGCTGTGGAAGGATCCCAGTACCCCATGACCTCACACCCACGGCGTGTGCTGCGTTAACGGCCATCCCTCCGGCACACTGGCCTGGGCCTCGGAGGACAGCACTGAACGGTTTGAACCCCTGCCTTAGAGACGCCCCTTAGGAAAGTCTGTCAAGGTCTGTGTCTGCCCTCGGAAAGCCTAACTGTGCTCAGATCCGAGGAGGATAAGTCCCGCCAGCACCTCACGACAAAGCTTTCAGAGCCCGGCACCGCCATGAAGGCACCGGTGGGGCTTCTCCGGGACAGGAGTGTCCACGTCACTCAGCAGCAGGGCACGGACACACTGCTATCACCAGTGGGCGTTGCCAGTCCCGCCTGCACCTCACGACAAAGCTTTCATCCAGACACTTCCCGTGGTTGGGGGAGCAGCACTGGCTTCCAGGTGCATCTGCAGAGCCCGGCACCGCCATGAAGGCACCGGTGGGGCTTCTCCGGGACAGGAGTGTCCACGTCACTCAGCAGCAGGGCACGGACACACTGCTATCACCAGTGGGCGTTGCCAGCGACCGAGCATCACGAGAAGTCACAGCAGGTGAGCAGACGCCTCCTGTGTGCCGCGAGCATGCGGCTCCTTGGCCACACCCCGTCTTCGCCCCTCTCTTAAATTGGGCGCGTCATCTAGGTAAACCTAAGGACTGTTTTTTCCTTTTCCCTTAGACAACACATCGTTTATAAAAATCACATGCATTCATTGTATTCAATGTGAAATTAGAGAAAAGAGGGCTTGCTCCGCAACCCGGCGGCTACAGCAGTTCAGATCCCAGACGTGACGGCTTGACGGTCACTCCAGGAGGGTGTGTGAGTGCCCACGCCCTGGCAGGGAGGCCATGGTGGAGAAGGGGCGGGGTGCTGTCTTCCGCTCTCGCTCCCTCTCCCTCTCTCTGGCAAAAGCATGACAAGTTAATACATAAATGAGATTAAAACATTTTAAAGTCACTCTTAATCTTACTAATACCACTATCACCACTGGAGTCAGCTGGAATGTATCATATAACTCTTTTTTTCCTAAACATATACACAATTTTTTATAGAAATGAAGCTTTAACATAGGTGTTTTATAACTATCATATTAATCTAAAATGTTACAAATATTAAATGTAATTAGATATTCTTCTACATCATTCAAAAATGATGGTATATAATATTGCATTGATACATCATAACTCATTTAGACTCTTATTATCCACTTAAGTTATTTCAATTTTCTATATTATAGATAAGTTGTCAATTAGCATCTTTGCATTCACTCATAATTATTTTCTTAGAAATTTCTAGAAGAGACTAAATATATCAATGGATAACGGCCAGACAATATGGATATAAACGTAAAACTCTGACCAGCAATCTACAGCGAGGAGGTGAGGGAGCCGGCCCGTCTGTAGTGACCAGCGGGAGCCCATATGCTGTCCAGCCGGGCCCACGGAAGGGAGGGCCATTTCTGGTAAACAATAACCCACGTGCTCGTTAGCCCCCGCCTAACTTGATTAAAGACTGACACGTCCCTACAATGCACCCCTCTTCCTATTCAGCAGTAAGCAGAGAAAGCCACCCCCCAGCCCCCACGGCAGGCTGTGCTCCTTGTCCCTGACCCGGCCCCCCAGGCCGCCTCCCCGCAGGCACCCTGTCCCCAGTAAAGCTGCCCTGCTCTACCAGCCCTTCGGTTTCTGCCCACGCCAAGGTGGTGTCTGACCCTCTGCATGGTACCCTTGCTTGGCCTCATTTGGGAGGTCTTCACTTATTTCCACGAAGTGAAACGAAGCTACATCGAACAAACATGGTTTCAGCGATGTTGGCAAGTGTGTGGATTTCCATAGCTTTGAGTTTTAGGGGATTTCCAAGGCCATAGGAAGCTTCCAAAGCCAAGTGTGGGGATGACCTGGGCTGGGAACCGCATGTCTTCCCACACGGCCCCAGGTCTGCCCAGTGCCACCAGGCAGGAGGCAGGTTCGGCAGCCTCCCCTGGGCTGCTGAGATCACCGGGCGTGCCATGTCATCTTACAAATGCCCAAAGCTGGGGTTCGCGGCTACAGGAACGACTGACTCTGGGCACTAAAAGAACCGGGAGGCGCCGTGGACAGCTGCACAGTCCGCCCCGTCGGCCGCGACGGCCTCCTGAGAGCTCGAAGAAGGCAGATCCCTTCCTCCTTCCTTCCCTCAGAGGCTCAGCCCTTTCCTGAAAGAGGTGTGGACCCGCTTCCACTCGCCTCCCTGCCTTACCTTCGTGTCCTAGACAACCAAGCCCGTCCTCCCACAGAGCGCTCCGGCACCACACCCCTGCACACGCCTCGACGCCCATTGGATACCGGGGAGGTGAGGATGGCAGCTCATGGACAAGCCAAAAAGCCTGCGTATGGCCTGAGGGGCAGGTAAGACTATAGGACTGAACGGCCAGCCCTGTGGCCTAGGGGTTAAAGGAACTGGTCCCTCAAGGCTGACTGCACTTCACATACAGCCCTGGTGGCCTGAAAAACATGTCAGGCACATGTGTGTGCATGTCCCAGATCTCAATAGGATGGGGAAGTGGAGGCAAGGGGCCGGCAAGTGGCATGGTGGTTAAGGGTGCTGGACTCCTGCACGGCCGACCATAGTTTGAGTCCCAGACCTGGCGGTTGGCTCTCTCACTTTCTCTCTCTCTCTCTGTCCCTTTATGGTCAAATATAATAAATAAATAAATACGTATATAAAGTTAAATAAATAATTTTTAAATAATGGGGGCAAAGGGACTGGGGTGTGGCTATGCCCGTGGGGCAGGGTGTTCTCGCTCTCTCTCTTCCCCTCTCTGCCTCTGTGTCTATCCCTAGTGAGCACACGCAACCTCTGGCAATTAATAAAAAAAGAAACTAATTGTTCACATAGTGGGACTTCTCACATATTTTCCTAAGTAAATCCTCATAACAGATCTATTTTTGCAGCTCAGAGGGATTTAGTGGACTGTCCGAGTGCTCCTGGCTGGTACTGCAGAACCAAGATCCAGCCCGGACTACCTGGTTCTCAAGCCACTGCCCACCCACCAGGCACACTGCTCCCCAGGAGGGTCCTCGTGTCTGGGTCCCTGCTGTCCATGCCACAGCTCACAGCAATAGATAACATCAGGACACGGCTTCTCAGCCCCATGACCCCGTTTCAGGTTTTAACAGCTGCATGTGGCTGGTGGCCGTCACTGGGTGGCAGATGTGGGATACCCCACCCCTACAGAAGGGGGACATTGGACAGCCCTGACCTAGAGGTACAGGTCTCTATTACTGGATGATGGCCAGCACCCAAATCTCCTATCAGACAGATTCTAATCTCTAAGTTCTGCCTGTTTCAGGCCCTGTTGGTGTCAGCCACAAAGTCCAATGACCCACAGTGGGTTGCTGAGCCGCCGATCCAGGGCCAGAGGGGTGTCTGACTGCCTCGCAGAGGACAGCCAACAGCGCTAGCAGGGGAGCACGCCTCTGCCATGCACAGCAAGCCTAGCACTCGGCCACTCTTGCAACACAGAAACACGCACACACGATATACTGAAAGTCGCAGGAATTGCACAAATTTAAAGCCAAAAGACTTCGCAGAAACCCTAGCCCAGCGACATCATTTTATTGCTGAGAAGCCCGAGGCCAGAGATAGTGCGTAGGCTGAACACGGACACACCTTACCGTCATGTGGGAAAGACAGTCTGAGCGTAAGGAGCAGGGAGCTGGAGTGAGACTGCCGGGTCTCCGTTCTGGAACTCCCTGGGCTAACTAGAACAAGTCAGTGAGAAGCTTAGAGCCTCATCTGCAGAGCAGTGCGGCGTCCACACCGCAAGGCTCTGCGAGGGTGGGTGTGTTAACGCGGGCAGCTGTGTGCATTATCGGTGAAGCCAAGGGCGATTGAAAGAGAAAGTCATATTACTGAGAATTATGTGTGCAGACAAGTGCGAACAAGGACCCTCCCAGGTAAACCGTGACGTGTAGTCACCCCGAGACGCTGCGTGCTCAGAACAGGGCCTGGCTGGGAGTAAGAGCGTAGGGGTGTCTATTACACCCACGACTTGGAATAATGAATCATTGGAAATTCCGTACTTATAGTAGAATTCAG